ATTTTCGAACAAATAATTTATTATTTATCTTTTCAAGGCATAATTTCCGAACACTTGTACTCCCTGCTTGTGTGTGTATGTGTGCGTGCGCGTGTGTTCTTTGTAAATATTGTCTGTAAAGCAGAGAATACATTTTCTGCTTTAACCTAACGCACAAGTTCAATACTATTCGAAGTAATCTCTGCTTTACCTAAATACACTTCAAATTTCGCGCACCATTACGTCACTACGCATGCTCGGTCAGTCTGCGCCGCACCCGTATAGCGTCAGTTCGTGTCGGTACGACAGGTATCCTAACCCCAAAACCGTCACTTTTCAACACGTTATAACTTTTTTTCTGTGGCAGAGCGACGATTTTTACTTTCACAGTTGTGTTTTACGCATCGAAATACACAATATTGCTTAGTTACAGTCAAATCGGTGAGGTTGTTGCTCTCCTTCAGTATTACCGAAATGTTGTGTTTAGAAATAAAAGATCTCAATAACATAAGTTACACTTTTCTTGTTACAAAAGATATTTATGATTTAGCTCATAATGGTAAGTGTTGTAATAATGTTATTGGATAGATAAAATTATACTGATAGTTATTTGGGTTATAAAATAATATTGCTTGTCTGCTGCAGCTGCCGATGTTTACAGGTTATGTCGGCTTCGGAACACTTCTCGGTTTCGGTTTAAGTGGCTGCCAACATCTGGAAACAAAAATAAGCCGAACTAACTCGATTCGGAATACACCCACTGTGCTCTTACTACAGGGACTTTAGAACCGGCCTTTAATGGAAACGCACCCTTAAAAACGCCTTTCATTTTCGAATCGGCTGTATCGTGTCTTGATATTCATGTAACGTGACTGTGTTATTGTGCTGGATGTCGGTAAGTTTTGTCGTGAAGGTTAATTTTGTTATATTATTACCATAAATGTCTTAAAATAAGCTTTAAAACAATGTTTTTTTGTAAAAATTTGTTTTTGTAGCTCTTACAAACCTGTTGCATGTACAATGTCATATACACTATCGAAATTGGCAAAGAGAAATCATGAGACAAGTGTACATGTGACATTTTTAGGTTGCTACATATGGTAATACAAAACTCTTGACAGAAATTTTTATAGAAAAAGTATAAAGAAAAATGGTGATTAATAAAACACTATAGCGTTATCATATAAATCACTAGACATACTTTTAATGTATTAATACTTTAATGCAGTAATCAATTGATTACTCTGAAATTGTATATAAATATGCCTTTTATTCACAAGAGAAAATATTTTTTCCTAAGAATAAAATATGATGTAAAAAATAATATAAAGTATACATACAAATACATATATGTGAAAGTTATTAAGAATGTTTTGTATATACAATTGTAGCAAGAAGTAGCTGAAATTTAACTTTGACCAATATGCTCTTCTCAAATAGTTCGGTAATAAAGATTATGTGGAATCTTATTATTTATTTATAGTTAGAGTTCAGAAATATATTTTTAATTTTTCCATCCGTTTTAGTCATTTGAGATAATGCAGTTATGATACGCCGTTTTGCTATTAATAAAATTCTTGAAATCTAAAATAAAAATTTAATAATTTATTTAAACTAAAGTTGATAGTTCTTTGGAACCATTTTCATTATGTTATAATATAATAAAAATAAATTAAAATTGTCTTGACATAACATTAATTCAAAATATACAGAAAAATGTAGCTTATATGGAATTACTGTTATATCAAAACACAATTTAAATTAATTTTTATCATGTTAAAATATATTATTAATAAATTTTTCTTATAGCGTAACATAATAACTGCAGGAATATGAATTATGTAAGCTATCATAATAATTTAGTGAATTAAAATTGTACTACGACATAATATAAATTTACAAATTAAAATTATGTCATATGTATAATAGAATTTTGGTAAATACAAGAGCCAAGACAGGATGTTAGTGTCAAAATGATTTTAATTTTTTAATTTATTGTGAAAAAGTTACCTCAGCTGGGGTTTGAATCTGGACCTCTCTCTGACTAGGCGAGCGTCTCACCAATTCAACCACCAAGGCATGAGGTAATATTTATCGCAATAAATGGTTTAATGTTATTTCACAAATGTCACATATCGTGACTCGAGATACAACTACGCGCTGACTAATTTATCAGTCTTACAACACGGTTTCAAATATAAATCTCTATTATTACCCATCCCCCTCATATACTAAATAAAATGAAGAACCACTTTCTCTCCGCGTAATTGTAAACAATAAAATTCATAACGGAGATTCATTTTTGAAGCTGGTGTTGTAAGAATGACAAATTAGTCAACGCGCAGTTCTATCTCAACTTCAGTCACGATATGTGACATTCGTGAAATAACGTTAGACTATTTATTGTGATAAATATTATCATATGTCTTGGTAGTCAAATTGGTGAGACACCTGCCTATTGAGAGAGAGGTCCAGATTGAAACCATAGCTGAGGTAAATTCAATAAATGTAAAGATTAAAATTATTTAGACACTAATATCCTGTTTTGACTCTTATATCCTTCATTTCTTCAAATTAAGAATTAAAATTATATATAATGAAAACTCGAGAATTACATTATTTATGTACATAATAAAAAAGCAAGGATTAAAATTATATCTATATATAATAGAACTTCTAGAATTAAAATTATATACATATAATACATAATTAAAATTTGAGAAGTAAAATTATGTACATAATTTTAATTTTCAAAAAAATTTTTATCTTGTAATAAAATAAATTTGAAAGTAACATTTTATCTAGACAATTTTAATTTTGCACTTTTAATTATATGATAACTTAATATTAATTTGAAGAATTAAGAATTAATAATATTTAAAGTAAAGAAATTAATATTATGTTATGATTAATAAATTAAAGATTAAAAATTTGTATTACATAATATTAATCTCTTTACTTTAACTATTAATTTGATTTGATAGAATTTTTATAATAATATTAAATAGCAAAACGGCGTGTTATACATATGTGGTCATATGGTTTTCATAACTTCACTGGCAAATTTATTGCAAATTAAAATTCTTATAACTTGTGATTGTTTCAGTTAAATGACTTTGGATTTATTTAATAAGTCTCCAAACATGTATGCGAACAATCTGTAAAATTTTTGTTGAATTCCTAATATATAAAAAATAAGTACTAAACATCTTTAAAATCTACAAGTTCATATAATAAACATAATGAGTTAATATTACTGAGTGCTTTGGATAATATCATATTTTATCATAATTCTTATGTATCATATCTTATTTTCTGATTATCCAAGCAAAGTATACATTATGTTTTTAAGCATACGGTATACAGGGTGTATTAAAACCACCGGATATCCTTTTAATCATAGATTCTTTAGAAAATTTCCAGACTAAAAATTCTAATATAAAAATGTCTAAGTTATATTAATAATAAGCGATTATATTTCACAAATAATAAGCCTGAAATTTCGCGAACTCAGGCACGGCGACATGACAAGTGATGAAAGTGTTCCTACAAATGTCGCCTTTTTTATGAATTATGCTTATAGCATAAATTTTAATAACCTCATCGCTATACGTTTTCCTGCTTCTTTACTCGTATTAGTATTTTCTCTTTACAAATAATGGACGTGTGAACTTAAAACATTTTAAAAATATATAATTCGGGTAAAAATTTGCAACGTGTTGTAACCTCAAAGTGTTGCAGCTGTCAAAGTGGTCGATCAATATCAGTTACCATAAAGGTTGTTACTATGTTAAAAGGGGCAATATTCATAGGAACACTTTTATCACTTGTTATGTCGTCGTACTCTAGCGCACAAAATCCCAAGTCTATTATTTGTGAAATATAATCGCTTATTTAAAAACTATTATAGCCTCGACATTTTTGTATTAGAATTTTCGTCTGGAAATTTGCTAAAAAATTTATGATTAAAGGATATCCGGTGGTTTCAGTACATCCTGTATACGTATAATATATATATAATAGTATACAAAAATTTGTATTATAACATAGTAATTTATTCAGGTTGCAAGAAGTACGTTAAAACGTATAAAGAAGAATAATAATGGCTTTGGTATGGTCCGACAAATACAGACTCATTACCAGAAATCTGGCGGAATGGTTGGGAGATGACAAACTTAAAAGTATCTTGAAGGAACGTGATCTGAAGCTCTATTGGGGTACAGCTACAACAGGAAAACCTCATATCGGCTACTTTGCTCCTATGTCTAAAATAGCTGATTTTTTACGGGCCAGAACCGAGGTGACAATTCTCTTCGCAGATCTTCATGCGTACTTGGATAATATGAAAGCTCCCTGGGAACTTCTGGAGCTTCGTACTGAATATTATGAGGCTGCGATCAAAGCAATGTTGAAGTCCATCGATGTACCAGTGGATAAATTAAAATTTGTCAAGGGCACAGACTACCAGTTGTCTAAGTAGATATTCAACCAACTCTGTACTTTAGCATTTTGCATTATACTTTTTATATTTATATTTCTATATTATGTTTATTAATGCAATATTGCGTTTAATTAAATTAGTTTTTATTTTCAGGGAATACACATTAGATGTATATCGTCTGACTTCGTTGGTGACAGAGCATGATGCAAAGAAAGCAGGTGCTGAAGTTGTTAAACAAGTCTCTAATCCGCTGCTGTCGGGTCTTCTCTATCCGAGCTTACAAGCACTTGATGAACATCATTTACAGGTGGATGCACAATTTGGCGGTGTTGATCAAAGAAAAATCTTTACTTTCTCAGAAAAATATCTCCCAATGTTGGGTTACGAAAAACGTATCCATCTGATGAATCCGATGAGTTAGTATTAGAAAACAAATTGATTTGAATTCTTTGCATTAATTAATTGAGTCCATTAATTAAAAGAGAAAATAAATTTAAATATAACACGATTATTCATAGCCTTTAATTTTTTTCAGTTCCTGGCTTGACAGGTGCTAAAATGTCTGCATCTGAAGAGGATTCCAAGATTGATCTGTTGGACAATCCTGCGGTAGTAAAGAAAAAGCTGAAAAAAGCGTTTTGTGAACCTGGGAACATTGCAGATAATGGAGTTTTAGCCTTCTCTAAACATGTTATATTTCCATTATTCAAAGATGGTGAAGTATTCAACGTATTAAGGACTGTAGAATTTGGTATGTGGTTTATTCTGTACAGATGGATTTACTGGAAAGAAAAATATCTTTTAATAACTTAAAGATATCTTTAATAAATTTGGTTATATCTTCATGTTTTTGTAGGTGGTGATATATCCTTTTCTAACTACGAGGATTTAGAAGCCGCCTTTGCAAATCAAGAAATACATCCTGGTGATTTAAAAAATGCTGTAGAAGTGTACATCAACAGACTTCTCGATCCAATAAGGAAGGAATTCGAATCAAACTCAAAACTGAAATCACTTGCGAGCAAAGCATACCCTTCTGCACAGAAACAAAGTAATTAATTTTTGTATATTTAACATTGGAATCATTTATTTGTTGAGTTCAAACATTAAACAATATACCAGGGTGATTTTATACTGTAATTGCAATTTTTTATATAATCCAGAAGTTACAGTGGTGGAAATTACTCCTGCAAGGCTAGATATTCGAGTGGGTAAAATAGTCGAAGTAAAGAGACATCCTGATGCAGACTCGCTATACGTCGAGAAAATAGATTTAAATGAATCGCATGGTCCACGTACTATAGTCAGCGGCTTAGTTAATTTTGTACCTTTAAACGAAATGGAAAACAGAATGGTAATAGTTCTTGCCAATTTGAAACCAGCAAATCTCAGGGGAATCTCATCGCATGGAATGGTTCTTTGTGCCTCAGTGTAAGTATTTCATTATACAAATAGCTTTTAAGTTCATATTACGTTTATACTTAGAGCATTCAAATAAAAAATTTTAATGATATATAATTATATACATATCTTCAATAAAAACTCACGATAGAAGTTTTTTGTTTATCGTACACCAACCACAAACAAAATGTTTAAATAAAAATAAATATTAATACAACACAAAATTTGTAATATCGATAATACAACTAATAAAACATATAATAAATTATATATTTGGCAGTGAAGAACCAACTAGGCAAGTGGAGCCTTTAAGGCCTCCCGCAGACAGCATGCCTGGTGATAAAATTGTTATTGAGGGATATGAAGATGGAGTTGCAGATGATGTGTTAAACCCAAAGAAAAAAGTATGGGAGAAACTACAGGTACGTCTAAAAAACTGATTACTTGTTAACTAGTTTACTGAGTTTTCGAATACATATACAGGGTGTCCCAGACCACCCGTATCAGCCAAATATCTCGAAATCCAAGAACGGCAGACAAAAGTTATATGGTTTCGAGGGGGACATAAGATGGTACCATTGGTTTGACCTTGAAGAATTATTTGAAGGTTACATAAAGGTCACACCAATTTTTTTCAATGACATCCCCTATTTTTTTATTACATATTCTTATAGCTGACCTCGAGAGCTTTCCAAAACGCTATAATAAAGTATTTTTTTATTAAGAACTTTTTGAGTAATTAAGGTTTGAATGTTCCAATATTTTGACATAAATTACAAAATATCTTGTAAAATATTCATTTTTTTATCATCTTACCTTAATACTTTTTTGAACAGAATAATGAGACAAATCAACCGGTGTAAAGAAAACACAATTTTGTAACATGTAACAAGTAATAAAAAAAATTTTTTTTAACAATTGTGTGTTTTCTTTACACCGGTTGATTTGTCTCATTATTCTGTTCAAAAAAAGTATCAAGGTAAGATGATAAAAAGTGAATATTTTACAAGATATTTTGTAATTTATGTCAAAATATTGGAACATTCAAACCTTAATAACTCAAAAAGTTCTTAATTAAAAAACACTTTATTATAGCGTTTTGGAAAGCTCTCGAGGTCAGCTACAAGAATATATAATAAAAAATAGGGGATGCCATTGAAAAAAATTGGTGTGACCTTTATGTGACCTTCAAATAATTCTTCAAGGTCAACCCAATAGTACCATCTTATGGCCCCCTCGAAACCATTAAACCTTTGTTTCAAACATTTTTTGTTAATTCGCTTACTTTTCGAGATATTTGCGTGGATGGATTAAAATGACTCACCCTGTATATATTCATCAACATTTCTGTAATATTTAAGAAATCTAGATACGTTGTAATGAGATAACACGTTATTAGGTGGATCTTGTGGTAAATGGAGATGGCATAGCTTCTTGGAGCGGAAATCCACTGCTTACTTCAACGGGTGGCAAGATAACATGTGACACACTAAAAAATGTTCCGATTAAATAATGCATTAATATCTAACGTTATTGTTCATTATATGACTAGCTTTTATAAGGGAGGATATGAAATAATACACACTTTTATTCAGGATTGGTACACTTATAATTTGATCCTTTGCCTTACATGTTTGAGGACTGACTTCAGTTCCTAGAGATGGTCGATCCTAATTTGATTCTTTAAAAATCGATTCTTTTGTTAACAAAATCGATTTTTTAAATCAATTCTTTGCTAGTCGATTTTTTGGGTGAATCGGATCTTTACCCCTAGACTCGAAATCCATGGAGAACGTATAAGGAGACCGAACTGCCCATAATCAGAGTGGGCCGACATTTGTGACAGCCAGTCGTTCTGAAAAGAGATTACTGGGAGCGTTGTCATCAACTAATAGCGTTTTCGATTTGCTGACTCGACCCGACTCCGAGTCAGAAAAGTTTGATCAAGAGTAAGATTTTTGTAGAAATTGTGGTTCAAATCTTGCTTTTGATCAAACTTTTCTGACTCGGGGTCGGGTCGAGTCAGAAAATCGAAAACGCTACAACTCCATTCGCATTCGTACGTGACACATGGTTGTCATATGCACGAAGCTTTCGTGGTTATATTAATGATAGAGTACGAGAGGTACGGGAAAAATATAGATTTTGGATATACAATAAAATAAAATAGAATACAAATGAATTCCTTAAAACTGCGCATTTCACAAGTTTCGAGCAGACTCGATACGTCCGATCCGTAAATAAGATGAGGAGATGGATATGTATCTCTGAAACTTGTAAAAATTACAAAAGTGAGTGAATTCACAGGTTGAAATTAGAAATATTCTAGTATTCACTCACTTTTGTATTTTTTCTAAGTTTCAGAAATCGACCCCCAGATAACAAAGGTAAACCTTTGACTATACAGGGTGTCCTGAAATTCGCGAATCAAAATACCATAGCAAGAAAGTCGTCGAAAAAATAAATTAAAAAGTTATTTGCCATTTTTCGTTCCGAGCAGTAGTTTTTTTTAGATAAAATGGTTCAAAACAGGCCAATCATACATTACGGTTGAACGGAAACCTGTCCGTGAGTCGCACGTTGATAGTGTTAATGCACTAACACTATCGACGCGCGACTCACGGACAGGTTTCCGTTCAACCGTAAGGTATGATTGGCCTGTTCAGAACCTTTTTATCTAAAAAAAACTACTGCTCGGGACGAAAAATGGCAAATAACTTTTTAATTTATTTTTTCGACGACTTTCTTGCTATGGTATTTTGATTCGCGAATTTCAGGACACCCTGTATAGTCAAAGGTCAAAGATACATACTGGAATGAGTGATCTATTGTTCTGGCTGTTGCCGAGAGAGAGGTGCGTTTGGGTGAATCCTTGTCTCCTTCTAGTACTACCTGATTGGATAGTCGCATATAAATGACGAGAAGAAGGGCGTCACTTATATGCGATTATCCAATCAGGTAGTACTAGAAGGAGACAAAGATTCACCCAACGCACCTCTCTCTCGGCAACAGCCAGAACTGTAGATCACTCATTCCAGTATGTATAGAGTTCACTGCGTGATCCAGACCTAGTTCGGTCTCCTTATACATTCTCCATGACTTCGACCTTTTGTTTTTATCTATTTTCTTTCAGAAACAGTCTATCTGTTGTTTCTCTCCTATTCTTCACTCCTTCATTTCCACTGCCACGTCTCTGCCTCCTCTTTCTATCACCTCATTTTCTTCCCGTTCACTCTTCTCCAACCTTTCCTTCCACTCCCTTTTTCACTCTATCCTCGCACTGCACGTCTTTCCTCCTGGCCATCTTTACCCCCTCTCCAAATATCAATTTCTTTTTTATTATACTTTTGAACTGAGTGTTTTAAGTGTAAAAATGTTCAGCTATGCGTTCCGCAACTTATTCTGGTATTATTTTGTGTATAAAAGCCAATAAAAAGATTTACAAGCGTAAAAACTATACAATTTGACTGTGTCGGTAAGACAGCAATTTTTAGTAATTAATAACTAGGACCCGTATGTTCGGGCGATTTCTCGACTCGCGCGCGGAGCATCGCTGCCTGCGAGTAAGCCGGATGCACGCTAAAGTGAGATAGCAACATTTCTCAAGGAGATCCGGAAACCCGATTTCCACGCCAACCGATCGTCAATTCGGAGAGATCGGTCGGCGAGTATCGGGTCTCCTCGGTCTCCTCGAGCAATGTTACTATCTCACTTCAGTGTGCATCCGACTCACTCGTAAGCAGCGGTGGTCCACGCACGAGCCGAGAAATCGCCCGAGCATACGGGCCCAATTAATAACTACTGCAAAAATTACAAAATGGTAAAACAATTTTCGATTCAGTCTAGTCTGCTCTATCTATATACAGAGCCCCAAATATTTAAAGACACCCTGTATATTAATACAATAAAAAATACATAATACAATAAAAAATACATAATATTGCACTATGAATATACAACCAATTTTTATAAAAAGAACCATGTGCTCAGACAAATATAAAATACAATGAGATTATATTTCATTATTATGTCACAATGTTCTTTTTAAAAAATGTTAAAATAAAAAAATTGCCTTGAGTAAAAACAGAAATATGATACAAGTTGTAGAAAAATGTGATATTTGCTCAACAGGTCAATTAACAAAACTGGCAGACTCTTATAAAGATTGCATTTAATTCATTATATTTATATAAACAATGATATTAACATATTGTAAAACGTATATAGCAAATATATGGGCCGGTTTACCAAATTTCGAGATTGGAACAAATCTCTGGATTAATATTGTAGCAATCAATTAGTCATGTAATTAGTCATTGAAACATTCTAGGTCTTTTTTCCAAGCGCCTTCTGTGTTAGCTCGGTCTTTTTCTGTTGCGCAATCTCCTTTTGTTTTTTCTCTTCTTCCCGCCGCTTTGCAGCCTCCTCTCGCTGCTGCTTAATTATAGCTAGTCGCGCTAGATCCGCTCGAGCTTCATCCGTTTTACCAGCCGCGTGCAATTTTTGATAATTTGCGTAGGCTCTTTGTTTTTCCAGTTGTTCTCTGAAAGTTAAAATTACATGAATTTTGTACCAATGTATGAGAACGAAATAAATAATACAATAAAATCCTAAAGATGTATGTACATTGTCGGCTCAAAATTTAAAACTATTTTAAAAATATTCCAATAGACACTATTTAAGAGTACGATTCAATGTTATTCAATTCTTTTCTTAATTTGAAAGTAAACATTATGTTTAATTGTGGTTGTGTTAAACATACCATTGTTTATTTTCAAGACTATATTTATTTAAATCATAAAAATAAAAAATAATTAAAGTCTCCACATCCTAAACTTCGCCATCTTCTAACAACCATCAAATCATGGTTAAATTTTTGAAGCTATAGTTCTTTTATTATTTTAATAAATTTTGGATTTTTTACCTATGTTTGTAGAAAATTCACTCTTTGGATAATTAAGTAGGTCAATAGTAAACGTATTTTAGCTCTAGTAGAATTTAAAATATAAAACAAGCGGCATACAATACTATTTTACCTACTGCATTTTTTTGCTAGAGTCAATACGGTTGCGGAGTTTTAGATCAGATGACTTGAGGCTAAATCTTGTTTGGCTACTTCAGTTATTTATTTATATTTTTGTAATGGTCGCATTCATGATGTAAGGGTCTATCCAGAAAAACTTGCATAGCGCATAAATGTATACATAAGAAATCTGATTAGATCATAAATGCACGCATAAGGAAGTAGACTAACCCATTTTTTATGCATATGCTTATGTTACTAACAATAAGTAACTTTAATAACAATAAGTCTCTCTCTCCTTATAAGAGCAAATAAATTGCCGCCGGGAAATAGCGCGGTTTAATTACACTTGAAAAAATATAATAATTCAACTAAAATTTATTATAAAATGATATCGAAAACGCAACTTAAAAATGTATAATTTGATGTTACGACGTTAAGTCCAAAAATATGGAAAAAATTGAGAAATATTTTATAATACAATATTTTCACATTGGAATGTCAAATTCGTCATTGTAAATTTTGCAAAGTTTTACAATATCATAAGAGTTTAAAAGTTTTTAACGCCACAACGCATAAATTATTAAGCACGACTGTTACATTACATGTGAGAGAGTTGTTAGAACCAATGCAGACAGAAATATTTCAAAGATTCTTAAATTCACATAAGTCAATTGTTAATTAAAATCTCCTCGATTAACTCAGCTCAAATCAATCATCAATCGGACGATCTTCGATTAATTTTGCTTGAACTAATCACTAATCGAATGAACTTCAATTGAATTCGCTAACGTCAATCGTCAATTAAACGACTTTCGATTAACTCAGCTCAAATCAATTGTCAACCTAATAAATTTAATTAAAATTATTAATATCAATTCTTAATCAAATAGTTTTTCATTACTTTGCCTAAAATATTAATTAATTAAATTAGTTTAATTACATTGATCAAATATTAATTTTTTAATTAAAAATAATTTAATTTATTATGTCAAACCCTGTATTATATATTATATGTATATAACGATCGAGTTTACACGTATCATTTTATACCCTAGCTGAGGGGTAATATTTCTCGTAATAAATTTTATAATAAAATTATTTAGACACTAACACCCTATCACGGTGCCCTTAGTTATCTTATTCCTTCGAATTTGTTTAATACATCAGTCTTATGGATTATTTTATATTATTTTTTATTTCGTAATAAAGCAATGAATAAAATATGTTAAATTATATGTAAATTTCATTTCATTTACAGTAAACACTTTCAATTGACAATCTCAAACTTGGTTAAAAGTACATATTATTAAAAGTAAAAAGATATATTATTAAAAATTAAAAATGTGATTACAATCTAAATAATTGCACACATACCTTTCTCTTCGAGATAGTTCTGGTTTTGCAGTATCTAACGATTGATTCAATTGGGACAACTTTTTAGTTTTTTTTTGTACCCTGTTTGGATTTTCTACTTGAATTAAATTCTCTACACCTTTTGCCTTTCCTGCCTGTAGAACAGAGTAATAATTATTAAAAAATTAGAACATACAACAGATATGTATAAAAATAAAAATGATGGATAAAAATGTTTTTTAATCTCACAAATACACACACATACCTCTGTTTCCGATTCTGATTCTGACTCACTATCGCTATCTGTAGCACTATTCTTCGACCTATTAGCCCCACTCGTTTTAGGTTCCTCATCGTCTTCTTCCTCACTGGAACTCTCCTGCCCTTTATTTTTCTGAAAAATAAACTTTGAATTAACTCAGTTCTCAACAGAACCTGAAACTAATGTCTGAAATGAAACAAACCCGAAGACAATCAAGCGCAAAGGAAAATAATGTATATATCACCAATCTCAGAAAAGTTCAAGGAGGATATAATGCTCAGATATATTGTATTGGGGATTTAATTATCAACTAACCAATCAACCACTAAGTCACTAGTGATCGCTAATAGAGATCCCAAAGATGAAAGATATCTTGAATACCAAACTAACATACTGATTCAAAACAGCCACGTCAATAAGAATATCTATATGCACACAATATTAATGAGATGCTAGAGAAACAAGAAAGGCTAGGACATCACTTGTCACAATCCTGAAGCCTCAAGACTTCAAAGTAAGTCATGGAATGAGAGAAATTAAAAGAGAACAAAACTTAATCATTAAAGTTTCCTGAACTCAGAAATATAAATACAAGAGGTTCTTAAATAGTAGAAAACACAAAACTAAGAAAGAACCATTGATAATTACGAGGAAAGCAGCCAAACGGCAAAAACAAAAAATTGAGTATATATTATACAACATCGAAAAGGAGAGATCTTAATCTTTCTTAAGAATAAAATTTTTTAACTAAATTTTTAACTCGGTCCTTTTAAAATATAAATCAATTACAGTGTAAACGCCTTTTCGGACCTGGTACAGATGGAGGTAGCCACTTGAATTTGTAATGGTACGTAGGACAGGATGGAATAAAGATGGTATACGGATTTACATGATAATTCAAGTGGCCACCTCCATCTGTACCAGGTCCGAAAAGGCGTTTACACTGTAATAAAATTTTTAATTTCTTTAATGCTTCCTAGATTTCTATTTGCCATATTAATTAAATATCCTACATCACGGTTATAAATAAGTGAGTAGAATATCAACTTAATTTATAAATGGAACAAACATATGAAATATCACATATATATTGCATCATATGATAAATTAAAACTAAATAAATGTGTATTTGTATCCTTACAAATATCCTATTTCTTTTGCTCTATGTAAGAAAGTGGACGTAACCATATCCTAATGTTATATACATATGACATAATTTCATATTGCATTCCTTGGATGGCTAATTTTCAATTTTTACAAATTAATTGCTAGAGAAACTGAATGTTAAACGCCAAAGATTTACATAGCCAGATATCTCAATTACATAGCCTGCACATCTGTGACCATTAACCTTAAAAAATACTAACTCTCCACTGTTGTTTCTTCTCTTCCTGGCGCCGTTGCTCCTCTAATTCCTCCGGATTTGTGAAGTGTCGGTTCCTGCCTTTATGATTCACAAATTTTCCTGCACAATAAATGAAGCGATCAGTAAGGAAGGACAAGAGAAGCCGCCCTTTCGTTGAAAAAACAGGACGAGATAAATGTCGAGAAACTACAGAAGTCCGAAATGAGTGCTCGTGAAAAGATGTACTCACCTCGCGGCATTGTAGCTCGAAATTATAGCTGAATCACAAATGATGATCAAATTATCGAAAAAGACGAATACCACCGTGAACTGTCTAACCGAGAACTGCACAAGATTCGCACTCTACGACCTACGTATGCGTCTGTATTTTTTATCTTTTTAATTATTTTCGACAGCCTTGACTGAAGCTCGAGTTCAGACTTAATCCTGCAATACGTCGCAATCTAATATTAGTGTCCCTAAAATATAGTTTCCTATAGAATTTTTTATTGGCAGAACTGGTACGTACCAAGGCTGTGTTCCGATATCAGTGAACTCTATGGGTCTGTTCTTTATTGCTGCACTCCTGAACTAGTGCACACTGGTGCAATGCGGGTGCTTTCACATGAAGCGTAAGTCCCAGTCTACAATAGATGATTTAAGCCCTAAGCTTTAAGAAATTGGCCAATCACGGTCAAGTATGAGTAGAATGCGCGACTGTGATTAGTCAATTTCTTAAGGTGCCTTTTCATACGCAGCATGCAGCAGCAGCAAATTAGTCACGTGATCCAAATTCACTAAAGCATATTTGCTGCTCATGGAAAAGGAATAGCTGCAGCAGCACTGTCCGGCTAGATCGCGTGTCTGCTGCTTTGCTGTTCGTTCAATTGAACTTCACAGCGATGAAGCAAAATATGGTGAAATTTATTTTGCAGCATCTAGTAACAATTCTTCAACCAATAGCAGCGAGTTGCTGCGGCAGTATGCTGCGCATGAAATGGTACCTTTAAGTCCCAGTCTACAATAGATGATTTAAGCCCTAAGCTTTAAGAAATTGGCCAATCACGGTCAAGGATGTGTTCGAAAATGGATTTAGTTACTGCCAGTGAAAACAGTATAGTTGGTAGCAATGAAAATTACTGGTGCTGCGTTTTTCGCACGCCAGTAAAGTCAGTAAAGCTGGGAAATTGACCAATCACAGTTCATTATTCGACTTACGACATCCAATGTAGACCCAGCCTTACTGACTTTACTGGCGTGCGAAAAACGCAGCACCAGTAATTTTCATTGCTACCAACTATACTGTTTTCACTGGCAGTAACTAAATCCATTTTCGAACACATCCCAAGTATGAGTAGAATACGCGACTGTGATTAGTCAATTTCTTAAGGCTTAGGGCTTAAATCTCTATTGTAGACTGGGACTAAGGCTTAAGGCTTAAATCTCTATTGTAGACTGGGACTAAAGCCCGCTGCAGACGATGCTATTTTTCCTGCTGGATTGCTTGCAATTTAGTAAATTACTAGGAATCCTGAATGCTGAGTGGTGCAATGATAGTAATTTACTAAATTGCAAGCAATCCAGCAGGAAAAATAGCATCGTCTGCAGCGGGCTTAAGTCCCAGTCTACAATAGATGATTTAAGCCCTAAGCTTTAAGAAATTGGCCAATCACGGTCAAGTATGAGTAGAATGCGCGACTGTGATTAGTCAATTTCTTAAGGCTTAGGGCTTAAATCTCTATTGTAGACTGGGACTTAAGGCACAATTTCACGCAGCGAATAAAAGCTGGCGTTTTACCCCCTCTCCATAAATTCCTGCCAGAATGGCGAATGTAGCGAATAAACGCTCAAAGTTCGACACAGTCCAACTTTTAGCGAATTGATCAAGCAACGCTGAAATTTAAATTATTTTACTTAGGGCAACTTTCACCAAGCTCCGGTTAACCCAACCGGTCTAGTAACATGCAGGATTGCAACCGAATCTGATATATTTTCTCAGATTCTCATCAGATTTCTCATCGGATTCGGTTGCAATCCTGCATGTTACTAGACCGGTTGGGTTAACCGGAGATTGGTGAAAGTGGCCCTTAAAAGTGTATAAAAAAGAAATTATGGCTGAAGGATTTAATCAATTGACAGCACCCAAAAATATAAACGAAGTTAGTACATATTATATACATACAGCAAACATACAGCAAACATACTTATAGCACAGTATAACCAGTATGCCCACTCTCTGTCGGCACCTTTGATCTGGGCGTTCTCAATTTTCCGCCATGTTTTTAATCGCCCCAACAGTGTATCAACGGCTAAAAGTGCCTAGGCCCTTTTCAGGATCGTATCCAGGAAAGGCGCATACGAATTGGCGTACATTATTTATTGTAAATAGAAATGGCCTATGAAAGAAAATGTTCTAATAATAGTAATTAATGTAATTACTTGCTCCAACGTATAAAAGTATTTACGCGTTATTCGTCAACACTGCGAATTTTTCTATGTCACACCGACTTTGCACTAACACACGTACAAAAATCCTGTGATTGGTTATAATAAAAACATGTCGGATGCGCAGTACGGATCGGCGCGAACGTGAAACAAAAGAGCGAGTGGGCATACTGGTTATACTGTGC